CGAAGGTTAAGTTTATGTCACGAGCGTAGCGAGTGGCATAATTAACATGAGTGAATAATAGCTCATTATATGTGAGTAGAATACTATGCTTTGTCCACGACTACTATTGACTTTTAACGGATTTTAATGCAAAAAAATTTATATTTATTATAACCTATTTGACAAAACCAAAAATTAAAGATGCCTGTGACTATTTTTAAAACAATTTATTTATATTAATTGTAATATATATATAAAATATACCAGTAAAACAGACTTTGAGAATGAATGAAATGAATTAATTTTCTTGGTCGCTCTCCAGTCCATAAAGGTGTTGTACACAGATACGTACAAATTTTGGGATTTCTCAGGCAACGAATTCAGGGAAGTGACTTTTTCAGCTTCTGTTATCTCCGGTGGAGTACACAATATATCTTCTTCACTATCAATTTCCATTGTTAACGTATTTTTGAAATTATAATTTTAACAGGAATTATTATTGCACCACCGCGTCGTTAAAATTTGACGTTTCAAATAATTATTAGTTGTCAGTTGATTACATGGCTTACTACCTACTTGATAATTCTATTATTTATAGATTATGCAGTATTTTATTTCCAATGAATGTGATTTTTTAGGTAATTCGTATTTCGAAAAGTGACTTCTGTGATGTTTTGTTGAGTGCGTAACATCTCTTCATCTTTCACGCTTTGATTTTTTATGTATAATTTAAGATTAATAATAATTTGTAACAAAAATCGTGTGCTGAATCGAAGTTATGACGTTTCAAATTGACAGCAATTTATGCTAAGCTTGTCATGCCACGTCAATGGCTTACTTACTTGAAATAGTCTACTTAATGTTAAATTTTTATTCAATTGCATTAAAAAAACATATTAAAGTAATACTTTAACAAGACTTTTATGATTGGTATAAAGTTAGATAATTAAAGTGCCTGGCTATAATTGCCTAGACGAACTTATAAGTGCTTGCCAGATACAATCTATATCGTGTGTCCTATAGGAACTCTAGACCAGTGAATAATGATTATTCACTGCTATTATTCACTCTGTGAAATATGACTATCATTTCGCTTTAGAAAACTTATTTATAAAGTATATATTATAAGGTAGTCGTGGATAAACTATGTTTATAAATGTTCAAAAATCACTTTCTGACACTTTCCAAAACCTATATAAGGACGAGGAATCATAATTTCGTTTGTGTTCTGTCTGTAAACTTTAAAATTAACAAAATGTTTACAAAATGCATATTACTTTCGGTAAAATATTTTACTTTGTTAAAATAATTACAAACCCTTGTTTTCTACAAAAAATTATGTTAAAATTTTACAAAATAAAATTAACAAACTACAAACTCATGTTATCAAATCTGATTTTTATTAGTGTGATCCGAATCTGCAATAAAAAATAGGAAAAACCCTTATTCGACCCGTGAGTATTGTCACAAGTGTGCTTTGGATGGTATAAAATTTAATTTTTGATTTACAATCTTAACAATTTTAAAATTAAAAAAACTATTGACGTTGAGGCATATCCTTTAATTAAATAGCATCGTTCGAAATTTTCCGAAACGCTAAGTTTTTAATCCATCTCAGCTCGACGAAATCGCATAACGTTTTCCCCCGGAAAAGTTTGGAAACTAGAAAAAGTTGTACGAACTCGCGTTTATTAAAATGCAGGCGTACACATCCCGTCCCGCCTTGCCACGCCAGATGAAAATATGATTTCAATAAAGGGAACAGGTTGTCATTTTTCGGGACGAATTTTCTAGCTTGTGTCTCTTGCCGACTGCTGACTGGGGTGCATTAAACACGCTTTATTTGTTGGAATGTGGAAACTTAAATGAAAAGGATTTAGATAAGAAATGTTGCTTTATTAATCAATTTCATAAACAAAAAAATTTACACATACCTACATTAGGGTGTCCCTTATTTTTATTTTTTTACGCATACCCTCTAATTATATTTATTACGTGTTTATATACTCCCAGTAAAAATTTCATCTCATTCTATAAACGGAAACCCGTGCCGACTTGCATCTGAACGCTCCGTTAGCCAACGTTAGGCGCGCGGTATTTTGTAACACGGTTGGTCGCGAGGTCTTCGATCGTAAGTCATTTTGTGTTTGTTATTATGTGACCCTTATATATTATAAATTATTGACAAATGTTAAAATATAGTTTTATTTATGTGTATACTTTAATAAAAATGTATATTTTCACAGGGAGTGGCTAGTTACCCGGAAGGGTCTGGTGAATAGGCCGTAAACTCTGAAATTGGTAAACTTAATGGGTTTTACTTTAAATAACTAAAAGAGTCTATTGTGAGAGATGACTACCGAAAACTTATTGAACTGTCTGAAATATTTTTGGGAGGACATCAAGAAAATAAATTCTTATAAAAAGCTGAAATTTCATATAACAGTATATTTTAGCAATACTAATTATATTAATATATTTAAGGGATAAAATCAACTAAATTAGTGAAACAAATGATAGAAACAAAAGCAATAATATTAATTAGTAATCATTTTGAATAAAATCATTAGAAAAATACAGTCATGAAGTATATCTTCTTTTTAAAGTGTTTCTTGTTACAAAATACCGCGCGCCTAACGTTGGCTAACGGAGGGTTCAGATGCAAGTCGGCACGGGTTCCCGTTTATAGAATGAGCTGAAATTTTTACTGGGAGTATATAAACACGTAATAAATATAATTAGAGGGTATGCGTAAAAAAAATATAAATAAGGGACACCCTAACCTACATACATAAACACAATTAAATAACACAACATTCTGAAATCATCAAATTATAAAGAAATTTTGCTATGAAAAATTGTTCCCCTCGATATAAAACTTTACGTGGAAAGTTTTAAAATGAACACCCTGTATATATATATACATTTATCTTGCTAAAATTGCAATTCCAATTTATGCGATAACAATATATCCCCCAATCTTAAACTTTAATCTTTAACACCAATTTATATTAGCCAACATATCTTACAGCTCCTAATTTTCTCCATTCGTTGACGTACCAAACATAAACAACAATGTATATATTACATGAATATAAATCATCGTCTTCAATAGCAGATGTTTTAAGCTGTTGTTTTACTTGGCATCGCTATTCTTAAGATAAGTTACTCGAGTGTTTAGACTCGATCGCCTGGAATAACAGATATGATACGCTGAATTATAAACCGAACTAAATTTGCAATATGCGACTTGGGAGCATCTCTGGCCAAGATAAATTGCCTAGATAAGAGATGTAAGAAGGGCATAAATCAACGGTTAATATTTAAATTTCGTACTATAAATATTATCAGAAAATCTGAATTTAGTGCTAATTTCAAAATTCTAAGAAAGTTTAATCTTTGAAAATCAAATAAAAACAATAAATATAATTTAAATAAAAAACGTTACCAAAAAATTTATTATATTTTTATTTTATACCAATTTATAATTTAATAATATTTAAAAATGAAATGAAACAATGTAATTAAGATATTAGGTTGTGTAAATTACAGTTTTATATTTTTCATAAATTTCATTGGTTAAAAATTAAAGATTATATATTGTGTAAAGATATTGTTTTTTATTCTTCAAAATTTAAATAATTTAGAAAAAGATATAGATTTATATCTACTTCCACATTGACAAGCTGTGACCACAGAACATAAGCTGTGACTTTATGGCGTTTTAGTCAAGGACTAAAGATATAAACAGTGGCTTTTAAGTTTTTTAGTGACGAGCAAAAAGTGAAGTTAAACTTGGATGACAGTTGACAGATGTCAAATTTTAAACTAATATTTCCAATATCATACTCTATTTGTATCCCGGACATTTACCAGCCAATTCTTATGTAAAATTGTCCCCTGAATCCGAAAATACCGTCAAAAACTATAAAAGTTAGGCAGTTTTTAAGATATAGTCAATTCAATATTATATTTAAAATTGATTATATTTTAAAAACTGTTCTACTTTTATAACTTTTGACGACATTTTCGGATTCACCGAAAAATATTTCATAGGAATTGACTGCTAAATGTCCTGGATACAAATTTCCGATGACGAGAATTATTAGTGGCTGCTTTATGTTATTTTTGAATAATTTATTTTTATAGAATAAGTAATATAGTGATTTCTTCGTCACAGGACATCTTGCAGAATAACAGTGATTTAAATAAAGTGCATGATAGAGAACATAAAAAACTAATGGCAACAAAATTAATAAATTCGGAAAATACTTTTAACATACCAGACCAAGGAATCCAGAAAAGGGATGAGGAATCCGAGAAAGAAATATATGAATTATATGATATTTACAAAAACGAAATAAAAAAAATTACCTAAAACAGTAATTTATCTTTAAAAAATATTTAACAATTTATATTATTTGATGTAAAATTGTTAGGTTTGTATAAAAATTGTATGTACTAGTAACTATGGTCCATGTGTCCAATTACTATATAAAATGTCCAATTACTATACTTTTTTGCATGTTTTTATAAAATTATTATTAAAAATTCAAATATTCTTATTTTTAAGTAAGCGAAAATAAAGTTTAAACAAAGAAACTATATATTCATAAAAAAACTAAAATCTTTAAAACAAAATTTTATATGCATTATTCATAAACTATCAGGCTATTAACAACATTTATGTATGTATACATAGATAGATTTCTAGAAAATGTTGCAACAAATACAAACATAACACTGTACTTATATGATTATAAATCTCAAATTCATTCACTGGAAACAATATTTGTCTAATGACGCCTTAGAGTTTTATTCGTTAATTGAAATACCAAGATTTTATAAATTTATCTGATAAAAAAATAATTAAAAACGTGTTTCCTTTGATTTTTTTCAAGTACCACTTTAGATTTTTTATCTCTTATTATTCAAATAAAACGGGATTTTGTCTGATGATATTGTTGATAATGGTTTAATGAATTAAAATGTTGTTTATAAATATGTGCAATAAAACGAGGTTTACAAATATAAAGTTTTATTTAATCGATACCAGGTTAATTTATTGAGATAATTATTATTCGATATTAGCTTCTGCATCTTCATTATCTTCATCATATTCTTCACCGCCATTATCCACGGTATCTTCAATACAATACAGAACGTCTTCAATGATATCAAAACCCATTTTGGTTACCTTTTTAATGCTGTTCAACATGCACGTGTCAATGGAGGTCACGGTCCTCAAATTCAGCTGTTGTATTTTGGCGGCTATCGTCATTACTTTTGGTGGTATCTGCAGGCTCTCTGAAATCGCATCCATAACTATGATTTGCATGCAGGTAGGGCTGAATCCACATTTTTGTATGTCTTTTCCGATTATTTCTGGGACAGACATGAACGTTTGCGCTTGGTTTAAACTGTCGCTAATGACGTTAACCACCTCAGTCATCACTTTCTTGGTGCAAGACTTGACTTCTTCATTCACTTGTTCTTCTAAAACATCCAATTGACCCTCCTCAATCAAGCAATCCACCACCACAGAGGCTTTGGCTTGGGCCAACTCCTTTTTGAAATTCTGGATTCTTTCCGATATCAAAGCCATATTTTCCTCCACCACTGTGTCCGTCATATTCTGCATCATAAAACTGTAGCTTTTTATGTTCGCTTGTATATCGCGTACTGAGTTTTTTATGCTTTCGTTTATTTCCTGTATTATCGATTCTTCAAACCCCCCGAGGTCACCTGGGGGCATCGTGATAAAGCCACCACAAGCAATCTGAAATTAAAAAAATAGTCAAATTAATCCAAGTTTGTTTTTTCAAATACAAATATATATAATTTCATAAAATATATATCAATGGCTTACTTTTAGTGCGAAAGCAAGCCCAATACTATACGTAATCATATTTAAAAAGAGGTTACTAACTTATTATCAAAACTAAAAATGTTAAGTAACTGAGATTAAATTTGCGGGACAAACAAAACTCTAGCAATTACTAACATATGTAATGTATTCATGATAAAAATAACTAATTAAAATATTAGATAATATTTTTTTTAATTTAAGGTAATTTAAAGCATCACACTATTTTCAATCCTAAAATATTTTTTGTCCAAGTGCGATAATATGATAGTAGTGTTCCACATTAATCTAACTTTACACTTAAATATACGAGGTGTGTTCAGAAAATAACGGGAATTGTTAAATTTCGCAGCTTCGGAGGATCCGATTTTCGTTCGTTAAAAGAAATGGATCAAAGAGAATTTGTATCCAATTTTGCTTAAAAAATGAAATAAATTATGTGAAATGTTAACAAAGGCCTATAGTGAGTCTGCTATAAGTAAAACAAGAGTTTACAAGTGGTATAAGAGTTTCCAAGATGGCCGTGAAGACGATGAAGATGACGAACGCCCCGAACGCACAAGCACATTAACAACCGATAAAAACATAGAAAAAGTGGAAGAAATGGTTATAAACCAGACAGACAGAGAAGTCGATGATGATGTTGGTGAAATTTTTTCAAATGTTTTGGGTATGAAACGCGTGGCAGCAAAATTTGTTCCAAGATTGTTAAATGTTGAACAAAATTTTTGGCCAAAAACAATGCTGTAATGATGCCCCAGCCTCCATATTCGCCAGACATGCCTCTTTCTGAATTTTTCCTATTCCCAAAATTAAAGAAAACCTTAAAGGGCCGTCGTTTTGCAAGCATAGATAACATTAAAAGCGCATCGCTGAAAAAACTAAAGGCTATCTCAAAGATCGAGTTTTAGAAGAAGAGCTGGCACATATGCATAATATCCAATGGGGACTATTTTGAAGGCGACAACATTAATGTAGACAAATAAATAAAAATTTGTTTCAGAAAACGAAAATTCCCGATATTTTCTAAACACACCTCGTACATTTAACACTAGCCAAGCTCTGGCAGTTCACATTGGTGAAAATATGCAATCGGAGGGTGTCCAGTTGACAAAAACGCAAACTTGTTTCGTTTATTGTTCTCTCAGAATTTGTGTTGGAAAAATACCAAGCTGTTTAGTTGTGGTTTATAATTATTAACTAAAGTTAAGTCAATTTCAAAGTATTATTACTCATCATGGTTTATAATGTCAAAAATCGCATTTTGTTTTGGTTCATAAGGTCGAAAATTGCGTTTTATTTATTGTACAGACAAATTTTAAGTACAGTTCTTTCAATAGCTCAGTTTAATGTACATAATAAGTAAATCGTTTTTTTTTTATTTTTTTTTTCCTTAGAGTAAAACATATCCATGATGCCAAGTTTAAAAATTTTAAAAGTTTAGCCAAACCCTTAGCAGTACAAAATGATTGTATGATGACAACTTTAGCACTGAATTGCAAAGAGGACCTTTAAAGTTTTATTTTGAGATTATCACTGCAAAAATTTCGTATATAAAATTATTTAACACTTTACCAAATGAAATTAAAAACTGTGATAATTTAATTAGTTTTAAGAAATATATTCTATCTTATGTAAAAGAAAAAATTGACCTGTGATATTTATGATGTTATTACTAATATTTTTATATATATAATGATGAGAAATTGTAAATAGCTTATGCTAATAATAAAGATATTTATTTATTATTTATTATTATATAATTATATAGAAGAATTTCCCGATTCGATAGAAATTTTAGTCACAAAATGGGTAAGAATTGGTTACCTGTATAAAACTACGAGATTTTAAGCTTGCTTTCCAAAGAGCCATACAATTTACACCAATCTAACAGTGTCAATTGGTACTTTGTGCCAAAATATTATTTGGTGCTTTGAACATATTTATATTTTAAGTAATTACCAGAGATTAGTTTTATATTTTGTAGCGTAAAACTTACAATGGACTGTATTTTTATATAAATATAAATTTTATTTGTTTTATATAAACATAAATGAATATATAAAAAATTAATAAGAGCAGAATCATTGCAAACCTCCATTGCATAATTTTTCAGGCGTACAATATTTTTTATATTTTTATCGACATTAAATGAATTCTATGTATGTCTTTAAGGGCGCACTGCAGACACCAATCTTATACAATATTGGTGTACAATTTTTAAATCTATTAGTGTTAGGATAAACACTAAATAGATTTCTAGCACTATTAGGAATAGCATGCATACTAAAAGTGAACTTTTATTTATTTTATTGCAAAAGCAGCGTTATTTGCATTTTAATGATGTCAAACAATTCAAAAATTAAAAATTTTCATTTTTATGTCAAATTATATTTTTTGCAAAAAAATTAAAGCTCACCTGTATTGTAAGGCCTAATCCAACAATATACGCAATCATATTTAACTAACGTATTACCAAATTAAAAAATGTTGAATAACTGCCAGTAAAAATTGCGGAGCAATGAATTAAATAGCAAAACTCATGCCAATAATACAATAAAAAAAATCTTTATTTTGTTGGTAATCTTATCGCTAATACACATATATTATAGTAATTCATCAAATTCGTATAATATATTTTATGAATTTATTGAGTAGACAATAATGATTTTACAACCTAAATCTTTAAGTTTTATGTTTATTGGCAGTATAACATGGTTTTAATGTTGGGATTTAGGGTTAAGATTATCCTTTGGCAAATAAGATTTAGAATTAAAAAAACAGAGATGTTTATAAAATGCTTTAAACAAATTTGGGTTTGTTTTAATATATATTTTTTATACATTTGTCTTTAAAATGACATTGACCCCACATTTTTATTCTCTCAGAGAGTCAAGTAATACATTTTCAAACATGAACATAAACTTAGTATGGATTACCACAATTTGCACAGTTCCCTTTTTGGGGACCCTTCCAGGAATTGCGCAGGGCCGGACTAAACGCCCTGAGGGCTAGGGGAGCTAGAAATTAAGGGCTGAAAAGTTAGGAGGCAGATATGCGCAAGTAATTTACCCCACTGTGCGAAACCATTACTTGTCTTCAGTACCGAAGTATTGCCGTCCACGTCGGTTTGTTAAAAATAAGCAGCTGGCTTCAACAAACATTTAGCTGCTCTTTCAAAATACTGACTTTAAAGAAGATTTAGCCCCATTCAGCCAGTCGTTATTATATTATGATGAAAATGTAGCAAACAGTTATACACAAATTATATTTTATCCCGATGTGCAAATATCGTAAGTTTGTTCCTTTTTTTAGAGATTCAAATAGAATATAAAATTCTAAATTTAGCAATATGCACAAGTATACCGTTTGGGATGATAGTTTTGGGTATTGTTAAATTTAACTTTAAGTTCGTGATTTAAACATTTCTATATTCACAGTAGCTCTATTTGTCTATTATAGCGCTCGAATTACACACAGGATGTTTCTATAAGAATTATTGGTAAAAATTAATAATTATTGATAACCTTAAATTTGACGTTTGTGTCAAAAGTCGCAAACACACTAAACGTTTCTTTATTACGATTTCCATGGTAACTAAGCGAGCGACAAAGTAACTTTGTCGCTTTCTTTTTGCTTGGTTGTAGAAAAAATATTTTTTTTTCAAGCAGCCATGATACACCGAAAAAAATATATTCGTTGAGTTAACATTTGCCTAAATGTCATTTTTGAAAATGTTGTTTCAACAAAAAACCTATTGGATTAATCTATATTTTGGTGTCAAAGCAATAGTCAGAGTTTGTCAAAGTTTATTTGTTCATTTGACAATTTAAAATATTGATCTTACATGAACTAATTGTTTGAATTAAAGTTTTTATCCTATTTTGATTTAATAGCTGGAATTGGTTAAATCAAATACTAAAATTGTTGGGATTACCTAAAAAAACTATTAGATTAACGTTTAGTTGCTGTTTAATCCACAACATTAAATTTGTTCATTTAACAAATTGTAAATGTTATTTTAAAATTTAAAATGTTAAATTTGCATTCATAAAGTTGCCTTAACACTCTAAGAATGTTAAATTAACAAAATTAGCAGATTGGAACAAATATCCTAATTTTGTTCATTTGACTGTTATTTGTTGTTCAATTAAACAATACAATTTGACATTTTTAGATGGTTAAGTAAACGTGCAAAAACCATTGCTTGTATTTAAAGTGCATAAAGAGTTGAATTAATATTCAATATTTTTTTGTTGTTTCAACAGCTTATTTTTTTCAGTGTATACAACCTTATATGCATGTATAGAGATAGTTGAAGTGCATCTTTTTTATTAGCGGCAGACAAAAAACTCAAAAAAGCCTAGGGATAGAAGTAAATCCATAGGTGACTCAGTAGACTTCAAATAATAAAATTAATTTAGCATTTCATAGAAAGCAATCACGATGTATTAATTATATTAATTATAATCGCACGGAATATTTAGTGATTATTTATTAAATTTTAAATGAACGAAATAAAGAACAATTAGTTTATTAGTATAATATTATGATGATAGACGAGTCGTCAATGTCCAAACACTCCAAACAAATGTCAGTACGTCAAAATTAATTCAAGCGCAGCATTTTGACAGAGTAGTGTTTATTTTTAGTTTAGGATATTTATCGGCATTGTAAGTAAGGGTTATTTAGTTTTTTTAGTTTTTATCAATAATTTCTAATGCTTTTAGCTAAAATTTTATCCCACATGAGTTATGAGTAAATAAAATAATTCTATTGCTTATTCTATTTATATTACACCTTTGAAAAAAAAAATTGTATATGTTATTTGGAGTAGAAGCTCTTTTTGTACTTCGTACAGTTGACGGCCGAAGCGTAGCACTCTGCACTCACCACAAAAAGAGTCAATTCTACTCCTTATGACATAATCTACTATTTTGCTTCTTTAACATTAATAGCCCCTTATTGTAAATGTAAATTAAGGACGGCATGGCGAATCGATTTTGACATTAACAGTCAAACCAATGACTGTGATACCAACCATCTAAAGTAAAATTTGACCAAAGGTATAAAATTAATTTTTTTTTATAGAATTTTTGCAAAATAGATAAAATAGCATAAAGAACTCATGTCATAAGACCTTTTGTCGCACTCGTCCATATAAATTGTCCGCCTGCGACAAAATGACGTCTTATGACGGATGGATACATAAATAAATATAAAATAAAAATTTACATATATCGACACTTTTTTACACTATTTGTAAAATAACATAAAACAAAGAAAAAATTCGACCTTGAAATGAAATATTTTGAACATTTTTATGAACATTTATTCTATTTATAAACACTTTTTAATTTTACGAAAACCCCATTAATTTTTTTTTAATAAAAATATAAAACATCAAAACATTATTAAAAACTATAAATTTTCCACTTTTAATAATTAATATCTCCAAAACAATCAGCCCAAAAGGTAAATAATAATAATAAATGAACATATTGCTGAAATCACAATTTTATAATCTATTCAAATCTTTCCAAAAAAAGAGGGGATACAATTTTAAAAAAATTAAAGAAATTCTACAAAAATGGCTGAAAATATGACAATTATACATCAATTCGTCTAATTGAAAGACAAAATCAACCTATTCAAGGATATTTTTGAGAAAAAAATCCGAATTTTTTAATGAATTTTTTCGATATTTTTGCCGGTTGCCTCACATACTATGCAAGGCAGTTTATCAGTAGGTAAAGATTGAGAATTAAATTTTGCGTTTTTAAGCTCTGGTACTTATGGGTGAATATATTGAGATGTCCCTCAAGTGAAAATGATTATTTTTTATTTTTGGTTGTTTCACTGTTAGTCTAGAATGGGGTTTTTGGGAAGCCACCAGGTCTAGTAATAACATAACATAAGTGGTTCTGCACTAATGCAAGAATTTTAAGAAATCATACATTTTGAGCATTAGAGCTTCACGGAAGATAGCTTCACGGAGGTTAGGATTTCGTATTTTTTTTTAAAATACAATTGTACATACATAAAATATTTATTAAAAAAATCTACTTACTGATATATTACACTTCACGGTGGATAGGTTTTTAAATAGAAAATTAATGAACTTTTGAATTATAAAACAGCAACACTCTCATCTGCATATAAATTCTAACTGACCTTCAGGAATCACATGCATCTATAATGTCGTAAACAGGGGTTTTTGCTTATTTAAAATGATTAAAGCGCCATCCGTTGCATAAAATTTGAAGCAAAAATAGATTCACGGAGGATAGAATTAATTTTTTTAACACCTACGTAAATGGTTATAAAAATTATTTCTTTTAATTTTTAATAATATTTTATATTTCATTCGATTGCTTTGGATGTGTTTAATTTACTTAGTGAATTGCTATTTTTAGTATGCTTTTACTACCTCAGATACTTGAAAACATATTGGTTAGTCTAGAAAGAGTTACAGTCACGGAGAATAGGTTTTTTTAGATGATTTACGGAAGCGCTCTTGTAAACGTCCGCCTTCTTCGAAAGGTCGGTCTAGAAATAAAAAAAAATGGAACCACAGAAATACTGAAATCAGTAATAAATTCACTAAAGTATATTTATTATCTTTTGAAGAAGTCTTAAACACAATCTAACATGTTCCTTTTGTTCATTAAATGCAAAAAGTACACCTAAAACGAATTTAAACAACATAATATTATTCCGGAGCATGCTCCAGACTACTTCATATTTTCAAAGGAAATCAAACATTATAAGGCTCGACACGTTTTGAGACCGAATGTACGACTCGAGTCACAAGTTGTTTCTTTTTTTAATAATAAAAATTTAGCTGCTGCAGCTCGAGGGAATTTCAAATGTACCGGTTTAGAGCAAATTAAAAGAAAAGAAATACTGTTCATTTGATTTTGTACGAGATCTATCAAAAAGTTAAATTGTAAGTTATGGCCAACAACTTTTCTGGAGTAATTTGGATGCGCTGATTCCAAAAATGACCATAATTTTGCTCAATTAGCTTTTGTTTTTAAGATATTGTGGGAAAAATATATCGCAGAAGCAAGAGCTAATTGAGCAAAATGATTGGTAATGCATTTCCTACACAAAATTGACCTGTTCAACAGTAAAAAAAGCTTTACACTAGGCTTGACTGGAGAACACTAGTTATAGCATTTACACAGTAAAAAAAATCAACTCTAAGCAACACTGATTAGAGTTCACACAGGTCCACACTAAATAGTGTTGTTTTATAACACTACAATTAGTAGTAGTAATTTTGTAGTGTAATTTGTAGTGTAATTTTTCCGAAGTAGGCAAGGTAATAATAAAGTAATTTTACATTGTATTATAGTGTTAATTTACCTAAAATAGTGTACTTTTACGCTTTCACTGTTAAATGTAAATTAACACTACTTTGGAAAAGTTCTAATTTTAGAAAAGTAACTTTAAACTTCTATTGCAAACTTTAAGTAAAACTTATTGGTAATGAATAA